TAAAAAAACAATTAAGCAAGTAAGGATCCAACCTAAGTTAATTAAGTTAATTAGTTAATTAAGCAATTTCTATGAAGTTAATTACCTTCGCTATTTGCGTACAAAAAGGTGCAATATCAAGAATTTTTGGAAAAGAAATTTGTCCAGGAACTTTGCGCGTGATCACTCGACCGCTCACTGAATGTGTCTGAAGAAGTGAAAAATGGAGAGAGAGAGAGAGCGATAAGCATAAATAAAGAAGCGAAAATGCTTTTAACATAAATGGCTAACCAAAAAATAGGAGAAAGATATTCTGGACAAAAACGGTAACTAATACATCCCTGCATGAAAATTTGCCATTAATTGAGGATTTTAGATTTAGAGTATGTTAATTGAATCGGATATTTTAACGTCAGAATATTTTTATGTTCTAACATTCTATATTTTTTATGTTTTAACGTTAGAATATCCAATTCTATTAACATACTCTAAAACTAAAATCCTCAAGTAGTGGCAAAATTATGTATTCAGATTTACGAATGAGAATTCTACTAAGATACTACTAATAGGGAGCAAGAACTTAAAATTCTAATAAGTGGGAAGAGAAACTTAGTTTGGAAGACCTGAATGTTGTTCAATGCATGCTTTCTGCATTTTGATCGAAAATAGACATGAAAATTAAGATTTTCCTGGATTACATGGCACAAGATCTTCTCCCCACAACTTCCAATTATTTAATAAGAGCTCAGAACAGTTTGCTCTCTGATTCTTGTCAATTCAGCTTATAAAAGAAATAAGCAATTATTTTACTACTATAACTGAGATTACCTGTTCAAATCGTTTGAGATGTAATGTTAAAACTGGAGGCGGTTCGTAAATCAAATAACGCTTCTCAGCTTCAACTGTCCTTTTTTTCATTCCATTTCGAAGCTGAAGAATAGCGCATTGCTCATTATTATATAAAAAGAATTTGCAATTCTCAAACCTTAAACCTAATATACCTAATGTGCTTTTAACAGGTTACAGAGCTTGCAAAAAAAACTATCGTTTATATCAATGCGATTTACGAATTTCAAAGTAGGAAGTGAGAACAGACTCCACTAAGACAAAATTTTGAACCTGCTTATTATAAGGAACACAACACTTTTCACATTCATAAGTATTTGGTGCTGAGAGAATTTCTGTCGTTGTAAAAGCTCGAAGACATGATGCTAATGAACGTGGTTCATCCTCTACAGCTTCCCCATCATCCAGTAACTGCAGGCAGTCTTCTGACTCATTACTTATATTCATTTTATTCATTTCATTACAGATACTGCCTAAAATATTCAATATTTCAGAAAATCGAGTTAAAACATAAACTCAGCAAAAGAAAAAAAGAACACCAGGAATACCTCAACATTCAATCTATTTCACAGGAAAGCACAGATCTACTGATTACGAAAACAAAAAAAACATATTCAGTTCAAACATTTTTATATTACACGAAAATGATAGTTTTTATTCCTTACCCAAAAACAAAATTACTGACGCAAATTATGCTAAACATAGTAAGAATATAAGAATGGAAATGTTACCGTTGATATTTTTTGCACCAACATCATCGTCATCAAGAACGTCTTCATCGCTAACATCATTGTTAAGATTGGACCGCTCTCCACTATTATTAATCTCATCGTTATGTGAAACGATTTCGTGAGATTTTCGTCGTACTTTCTTAAATTTGCAAAAAATAAGATGTAATAGAGCAAATGAACAGGATTCAGTTGTACACATGTAGCTATATATTACTTTTATGAACTAACGCATTAATTGCAAGAACGATTTCATGAATTATCTAAAATAAATTTTACTAACCCCTTTGCGTGCATTCGTTTTTTCTTTTTTTCTCTGATATTTACTTAAGCTCAGTGAAGCAGATTTATGCATTTTATAGGTTCCATTAAATAATGTCTTGGCTGACGTCGATGGAAGTGGTAGAGAAAGATCCAAGAAATCTTCATAAGTCTTCGAAAGATGGCCACAATCTGGACATTTCACCGTCTGCAAGAGTGTACCACCAAAAACAGCATCAATAAGCGGTCTTCCACATGCTTTGAGCATGCCCTGAAACAATAACCAAAAACTGTGAAATTAGAACGCCACATATCCACATTGCATGAATGATGAATAGGGCGCTTACATATAGATAAAGAACCATTTTAACAAGGTCAAATTTTCAAAAAATGTAATAATGTGAAATGTATGGCACAATTCTACTGCAGCATACGCAGGAAAAACAATCACTATACTTAAACAATCTAATCATTAATATTTCATTGTAGAATAACTTTACGAACTGAAATCTGTCGGAATTATGAGATGTACTGGTGCATAGTAAAGATTAACCTTCGCCAGTAAAGAGAGTTCGCCATCCGTCAACTTGGGATTTCCATTTCTAGCTACTTTGATATGTCTCGAAATAGCTTCCTTATACCGGTTAATTTCCTCCGTTCGGAGACCGTCCAATAAATACCGTAATAACTCATGTGCATCCTGCTGCGCCCATCCTCGAAACCGTGGAGCTCTACAAGTACATGAAGTTGATATGAAATTATGAAGAATGAAAGTACTAGTTACAATTTCTATATATTGATGACTTTTGCGATAATATGGAAAGTTAGATGTGATAAATGTCAAAACATTCAACTGATTTTTTATCGACCTCACAGTAACAGATCTTTTATTTACAACAAATAGCAATAATTTGACTTCTGCTTATCTTGTTAATTTTAAAAAACTACAAAAGTTTTTCATTGAAGAACAATGTGCTAACTTCCTCGCTATTTCGCTGAATAAAGAAGAGGGATGAACAGCTATTCCAGCTTTGAAATCGCGTATGAAGTTCGCGAAAATATTATTCAGTGGTCCATCAAATGAATCCAAAGATAAATATACATGCGGTACCTGTAACTGCATCGTAAACTAACAAAAATTAACAAAAACATTGACCCTTCCCAAATTAAATGAAGAAATATGTGCGATCATTGTCGAGGGCTTGACTTACTTTCTTAATAAGTCTGGAAAAAAAGTATCGATCTCCAGTGCAATGGAGACTAATTTACAAACAGATAAAAAATTTTCCAGACTTATCAAGGTAAGACAAGAAGTTGAAAATCATATGCTAAGTGTTGAACACACTTAACTTAAAAAGTGATGCTTGACCAATTTTTCGCTGTCTGGAAAATTTGCGTATGTTTTAGTTCAATTTCTTCCACCCCATTTTGTTTATTAACATCTATTCCACAAAACCATTATTATCAATAGAACTTAGTTTCTAAATGTTATTAAATAATTGAACTTTTGAAGACATTCGAAGAAACAATCGATTGCAAATCTACGATTTTGAAGAAGTTATCTGAAATTCAAATTCCCTCATTTCAAACATATATACAATTAGCTCGCTAGCATCGATCAACAGTATTTAACGCCAGTTGCTCTTACAAAAACACAGTGTTTTTTTAAAAGAGCGTAGCCAAATCCTAACATATGATTTAATTCATACATTGTAGGTTTTTTGAACTCTAGTAATAAATTATTTGTTCACAGTATCCAGAAATAAGAAATAATGGATGTAATCATTTCAATAATGGTATCAGATATCTATCAAAAGGAATGAGAGCATGCGTTACTGAAACCTTGATCAAATATGTATATATTTTAAATTATTAAGGCTTCTCTACGCTCAAGGAGATAGAGAAGCCTTAGTAATTTAAAATCCAAGAAACTTCAATGAACCTGGACTTGCTTGTCGCCAATTAAAACTTCATTCTGCATGAGTTCGATGTTATTTTCTCTACCAACCAAATTGATATACACAGCAAGAATATGCGTGTGAAGAAGGCACTGGGTTATCGAATTAAAAAAACAGGTATTTCCAAGATTAACGAGGCCCTGCAATGCAGAATAACCATTCACGGCTTCATAATTGTGCCAAGAACTTTATCTCGTTTCAAGAATAGTTTAAAGAACTAATAACAGATAAATATTTAACGAAAGTATGAAAAAGCAAATATATATGCACAAAATCCAAACAAATTAGAAATTATATGGAAAAAAACTAATTTCACAAACCTTCACTGGTAGCAGTGTTTTCCTTTCATTATTTTTCATTTTGCTTTCTGTTAAACGTTTTCCGTTACTAAGCCCACTCTTTTTCGAATCAGCCCCTCCAACGAGTGAAGAATTTCTTTTCGTGTTACTTTTCATCGACTGAGATTCTGATGGATCAATCTTTAGCTTTGGTTTTATGAATGAGTTATAATCGTTAAGAAAAGCTTTTATTGAACCACCTTCTTCTTCAGCAACATAAACTCTTTTTTCGCAACTGAAGCACCTGAAGCTATGAACATTTTTCAATGGAACATTTCGTGGATTTTTCGCTGTTTTACAATGGAAGAACCTTTCACTATATTACAATCGAACAATGAAAATCTTTTGAAATTATTGGATAAACATCATAAAAGTCCTTTTCTGAATAATTGACACTTTCAACATTTGTTTTATAATGCTTTTGTAATTCATTAAATTATTTTGTCAGATGAGAAATTACTTGGAATTCTTTCTTACTAAGCACATATGTTAATGCATTGCTCTGACAATGCATGAACTGCTCGTAAACATGCAAAAACAAAAAAATGAATGTATACTGCAAAAAAAATCATGTCATTTTAAAATTTTGAATATGTAAAAATTACCGGAATTGTTTGTCTTCCACAGCAAAAAAAAGTGGATGCTCTGTGCCAGTACGCAATGCTTTGAAATGATTTAAAGTGTGATTTTTTTCATCACAGCCCGAATAACTGCAGGTGACGCATATCCATACCTTTAACAACAGGATACAGACTAAGAAACAAATAATATCAATTTTTTATACAATTTTAGCTATAAGATGAGGTATAGTCATAATCCAATCAATTTTACTTCGAACAGTTTTAAGGAATAAATAAATATAAAAACAAACCGACGGCCGCTGTTCGGGTGGATCGAGCCTTGCACAGTCTTCGCAATAATTAATTTCCATTTTTTTCTTGAAGTTCTTCATTTTTTTTCGTAAATTTGCAACTTTAAATAATCCTTTCTTGTTCCTGTGTGGGCACTCCAGATCTTGTCGCACATCAGTATATGAAAAGCAAAAAGAATATAAAAAATTTTACTGTAAAATGACCAAAGAAATTTTACAGAACGACATAACTGGGGAAACTGGGCTTTCCTTAAATCTTATTCTACAATTATGAAACGAAAAACATACCATTGCATTCGACTTCTCGACCAGCGGTAGGGGTGGACTCCTGTACCACTTCAGAGGTACGTTGGACGTCCTCAAACATGCGATCCTTTACTGTTTAAGACCTGTTATAGTTTTCAATGTTATTTGAAATATTTTTCTTAGATGTTTAAATTTTATTAAAGTATCATCGCTCACATAGTTTGCACATATCGGTGGAAGCGTATGCAACGTGTACAGTAAGTTAACGTAATCTCCACATTCCCCAGATAGCAGTGTTCCAAATTTCGAGATAAAAATGACCAAATACAAAAGCATCTCAACAAAGCATTGAAAGAACCCTCGCAAAGTTGCATGCACTGTTGCATGCACCGAGAATTTTTTTGCATTGCGTTCCACACTTTAAACCACCGATCAATTGGCGTCGTTGCTCAGAATGCGTGTCATTCCGTGTTGCGTGTAAAAGACATGGTGATGGGTACGTATAGTATGTGGAGTGGGTAGTGTGACTCATGAGAGTACAGAGGGAGGAAGAGCGGGAGCATTATCGTTATACTTTTTAATTGTGAAAATTTGATCTTGTTGTCACCGTTTCGGAATTTTCTGATATGAGATCTAATTGAGTTTACGCAGTTGCTGGATGCATTTTGTTTGTTCAAAAATAATAGTGAAAAGCTTTTCTTTTAGATGAAGCTGTAATCTCATGGCCTACAGAAAGGTGTACAGATGAGCGTTTCTCTAGCGGTAGAAGGTATGGATGCCTTGGCGCTTGCCCAAGAGGGTGAGCGGTTATGCCGCGAAAACAGCATGAAAGCAGGTTTGAAACTTGTCATTTTCATTATATATCCTATATTATATCATTCGAATTGAGCAGTCTTTGTGATGTTTCCGTCCCTTTCTCTTAAAAGACTGTTTTACAAGTTCATATGGTATTAGAAAGCATTTCACAAATTGCGATGGGACACCTTCACTACAATTTCTGAATTTGGTCGTGGTCTTATTATTCTTATTGCTTCAGTTATCACTTAGAGAATCCAGATGCAATTTGCACTGTGGTGGAATCTCTTAAGCAGTAATTATTGTTTTGAGAAAGCATTCACGACTTTTTCATTATTTTTTCGAAAGTAATAGCATGCTGAATAATTAGATATAAAGAAAAATCTACTTTGCAGGAATAAAGTACTTGGAAATGGCTTTGAATAAAAAAATCGACCTTGGAGGACGCAGCTTAGAAGCGTTGTCTGCAATTTATTCACAACTAGGAAATGCTTACTTTGTGTTACGCATTTTCGATAAAGCACTGGAATATCATCGACATGATTTGGAAACTGCCAAGTAAGGCTGTGATAACATTTCCCCCAGATTTATTCGTAGTGCACAAACAGAACCTTCACATCAGGGCATTCGCTATTATCCATTTTCAGATTGCTCAATGACCGTTCTGGGCTTGCGAAAGCTCATGGCAATATAGCAAATACCTACAAAGCTTTGGGTGATTTTGATAGCGCTTATGAGCATGCAGTTTCACATTTACGATTAGCACAGGAACTTAATGATAAAGTAAGTGTGGCATTACTTTCGGCACATATTAACTGTTGTAAAAGACGAGTTTGTTCCAGCCTACATTTTCGTCTTATAGAGGTCTTCATGTTTCTGCAAATTATAATTATTTTGTTATGAAAATAAAACAAGGTTATAAATGAAACACTCTAATAGTAGTGTCTTACGCGTCGGTGATATATGTGGTATTTTTTCCCGATTTTCACTGGATTAGGTTTGATGCATTTATTTAGTCTTGATTATTTAACAAAAAAGGGCATATTGTGGCAGTTGATTTTTCTTTTTCGATTGCTCATATGTATTTGATGACACAAGTAGTAATAGAGAGTAAACTTTATGAGGTTTTCTTTAATTACGCTGATTTACTTTGTATTTATCAAAAATCCTTTTAGGAATGTGAGGCTGGAGCTCTTTATAATGTGGCATCTGTTTATCATTGTCGTGCAAAAACAATAATCCATGCATCGGAACCTCTTGATAAATCTGGGCTTCTTACAGCTAGCGATATGACAGCAACCTCTCAACTTCAAGCTGCTATAAATTGTTATTTGTAAGTATTTACATTGGATGAAACTGATATATGGATTATAAGAAGGATTGTGCTGCGGAGGTCTACTTGTTGCTTATTCTTAGACTTATTACTTCACATTTTCCTTTGCATTTCCTTTATTACTGACGTCTTGGTGGTTTCGTCAGATATATGGTTAACTGTAAATGTGGAGATCTTGCTTGTGTTATATTTGATTTATCAAAAAAACGAAGACTTAATTCCGGACAAAATCCAAAATCCATATACATTTTTCAGTGATACTGTAGGCAAAAAGTAGTACCTCGAATAGTTCTTCCTATTCCAGACAAAATCTTCACATAGTCGAAAACATGAAAGATTTCGTTGCATGTGGTAGAACGTATGGCAATATTGGTAACAGTTATTATATGCTTGGTGATTATGCAACTGCTGTTTATTATCACAGTAAAGTAAGTCTATCATTCATGAACAGGATGTTAATATTCATAACTTGTTGGTGCTGTTATCTGTATGTAAAAAAACTTTGTTTGTTTTCAAAGATATTTTCCTTTCAAGTCTCTTTCAATATTGTGAGTCTAATAGTTAATAGAAAAACGAAATAGGTATTATTTTTCTGATAGAAACCATTATTTAATAACCTGATTATTCCTAATTTTCGTGATGTAGAACATGTTTATGAATTACTTTTTCCAAAATTGTTTGATAAAACTGAAATATTTTAGTTCTTTCTTTACTTGTATGAAATATCTTTTAGCGATTGGATATTGCTCGACAGTATGGTGACCGTGCAGCAATGCGACGTGCCTACACAAATCTTGGAAATGCGCATATTTTCCTTTCAGAAACGGCAAAAGCCTTAGAATATTATCGGTATTTTTTAAATAGTATTCATTTCTGTTATTTGCTATCGTGCTACTGGTGATTAACTTTGAATAGAAGCATTTTTGAGAACAGAAGCATTGTTAAGATAGTTTGATGTTCATCGTATTTAATTTGCATGGAAGTTATAACTGCGATATTTGAGTGATCCTTTATAGCCACTACTACAGTAAAAATTTTTAGCTTGGCGCTGTCAATTGCAGCGGAATTGCGCGATGAAGTGACAGAAGCACAGTGCTGTTTCAATGTTGGTAATGGTGCTGCTATATGTGGCGATCATATAACGGGTTTGTCTAAATATTTTAAAAGGATGTATCGATAAACGAGTTAAATAAAAAAATTCTCCCGTTTGTTTACAATTAAAATTTGCGTTTTCCTTTACAAATAGTAATAGTAGTTGGCTGCATTTCAGCAGTAGAATATCACACTCGATATTTGAAGTTTGCTAGGAATTTGGGTGACCGCGCTGCAGAATCGCGTGCGTGTGCGGCTCTAGCAACAGATTTTCGAAAACAGGGAATGATGGGAAAAGCCGTTTATTTCTATGTACTTCAAGGACATTTATTAGTTGAGGTTCTTCTTTTCAATTGTTATCAATGCAGTCGAAATTTTCTCGAACTTTCCCATAATATCTTAGTCAAAAGGCCTTGCATAAAAATGAGAAGCGTGGTAACCGGCTAGCTCTAATTTAGTTTGAAGTTTTGCAATTGGTTGTAGATTTATTTATTTGTTAGCTATTTTACAAAATTAAAAATTCTTATTCTGTGAAATTTATGGGGCCGATTTTCAAGATTCTGAACAATGCTACGTCTTTGGTATACCTTTTCGAAGTCTTTCTTCGTAAATTCTTAGTGAGTATATTTTTCAATATGATTTTTATTAAAAAAGACCTTGCTTATTTAAAAATGCCTGCGAAATAATCAGTCTCATGCTGAGAAATTTTTCAACAGATATCCTCAAATATCTACAACAAAGTTTTGAGTTAAGCGATTTGCAATGCTGTATGTTTGCTGTTTGCATATATTATGATTGGTTTTTTCTCATCGAAGTTTTTTTAGTTTATACCGACTCATTTGTTCTTCCCGAACTTATTAAAAATTTTGATTCCGTACTTCTTTCTTTGTTTTTTGTTGGTTTTGCTGTTATGCTAACTGTTCTTCATCTTAAAGATACAGTCGTAATAGTTCAGAAGTATTTAGGTAGCTGCAAAAAGAATCGTTATCATATCGGCTATTCTGTTTAATAAAACAGCGGTAGTGAAATTTAGGTGAGAAGAGAATTGTTAGAAAATGGAGAGGATATTTTACATAAAAGTAACATTCCGCCATGAATCCATTCTTGGTTCACTCTATGAAAATAGATATTAAACATTTTCATTTTTGTGAAAATCGAATAGTGATAAGATAGTATTTTTTTAGAAACTATCGGATATATGTAGTTCTTAGTGTAATTTTTCCAAACCGAAAAAGCTCTAACAGATTTTGTTTAAAGAAATGAATAGGTGATACTTTATTCGTGAAGTGATATTCTGAATAGGTGGTTTTTTTTTTTGAAAATACACGGTTGAAGGTGTATAGCGGTCGAAACGATGAAGTGTTGCAGTTTACTGTATTTAGACCAATGATAACTTTATTTTTTTTCTATAATATTCACAGGAAGACTTGAAAAATAGTTGACTATCCTCATGTAGTTATTGATTTCTCTTGAATTTCCTAATAAAAGTCTTTTTTTATTTCTGGAGTTTAATTTCGTTAGATTTTTAACACATTTTGCATTTAAAATTGAAAAATTGTTTCTGATCTACAGGAAAATAAATCTTAGCCTAGCAACGGTCATAATAGTTGTGTATAATCGTCCCACTAATTTTGTCTACATGTGTTTTTGTGTGCATTTTTCTAACATAAATGGCTTGTAGTGCAATATTGTTCATGAGGAACGCCACAATATTTTTTTGTTCCCTGAAATTATATGTAGTGAAGTCATCAACTGCTGGCTTATAGGATTATAGTATGGTAATGGAAGAGGTAAATTAAATCGCTCATTAATATGCTGCATTTTTTGATAAGTTTTTCAAAACACGTTGAACTTTTAAATCATTGTCAAAGTTCAGTAAAAAATGAACATAGGACTAAGAAAAACAATGAACACACTTTAAGAAGTTCTGGTTTAAATCTGATTTAATGAAAAAAGCACAGGGAAAGGAGTTAGCTGTGACTAAATACTTCTAACCGTTATAGATTGGGAAGGTAGCGTGACACCGAATTTTCAGTTACTTCAACAGTTTTTTCTCTGCTTTTACGATTTTAACTAACAAATAGATAATGGAAGTAATCACACACATAGCAGCATTTCTTCTGGAACTTTGCAGAAAAAAAGCGCGTTATCATTGCTTTTTTCCAATGAACTTGTCACATCGATAGTAAATTGGGAAAAAAGGTGTATAATTTCTATGTCACGAAAGATTAAATCATTTAGTTAGCAATTCTAGAAAGAAAAAAAATTGATATTTCATGATGCTAAAGCAGTGCCATTTTTAGGATTCGTTTGGGAGGTTGACTTTCCGCTGTTTCACGAAAATATTTTTTGTCTTCAAAATCATTTAACATTGAAGATTTATAATATTTCGTTTTAATGCCCTGTGGTCTTTCTATCTTTTCTAACGGTATAGAAGAGTAATCTGATTTCCATTTCTAAGTTTAATTTAGAATTTGATTTCAGGTGGCGGTATATGCGAGATAAGGGCATAAATTTGGATTTTTTATGTATGTGGAAGCTGTTTTTGGTCCTATTAAAATAGATACTATGTAATAAATTTAATTCTTCAACTAATCATTGCAAAGATTACGTTTTACATCTGAATAATGGACTTTTTTGCTGGTTTCTTTTTCTTCAAATCAATAGCAAAGTGTTCATTTTCCATGCGGCACTGTGATATATAATATAGTGAACTTATCCCTTCCTAAGAACAGCTATGGTTAGGAATGACATTTTTACACAAGTATAAGTGAATTTAACCCTTCGTATCTAACGCATATATGGATAGCTGAGAGATTTATGAAAAGGAGACTGCACTTTCTCTTCATGGGGAGCATGAAACGAAAAGATAATTCGATCTGCGGAATTAACATTGAATAATAAATTTTCTATGATAATTGCAGATGGGCGATCAAGGTAGTGAAGAGAATGTGCGTAGCTCGCTGGAAGATTTGTTGAAATCAATAAAGAGATGGCCTGTAAAGGAAATTAGCGATTTAGAAATGGATTCATCTGGTGATCCTGAACCACACAATGCTTCCGACTTAAATGCATCCTTTAAAAAATTACTCTATGAATCAGAGATGAACTCGGGCTCCACACATCAGCTGCTTAATGATTCAACGATTGCAGCTATTGACAAACAGGTACTTTATGTTAAATATTATCAAAATAGTCAGAAATATAAGATTTAGCTCTTTCGTTAGAGTAGATTTGGTGTCAAGTTACATAAGTAGAATTGGCTACGTATATTCTGGTAGTATTACGAAAATTAGAAATGGCTCATGAATCAAAATGCACTTAAATGATGTATTAATGCCATTTTTTGGATTTGATTGAAATGCTATTTCTTTATAGTACTTAAGAGTGTTTGTCTAGGTCGGTTTTTCTTAAATATTTGCTTTTTTATGTGCTTTAACGGACAAGATCAACGTGGTCCTGGTATAGGTTATAAGCATGCGTTTGTTCATGCGATAAGTGTCTTCCAGGTCTTTAAAAGGAGTTTTTGTAACTGTTATGAGTAAAGGTTATGGATTGCTTGATTTTTAAATGTTGTTTTGCTCATATTGATTTCTGTTTCATAACATAGCACACACCATTTCTTCCATATTTTATTAATTACGCTCCAAAAACCTGGAATGATTATTTTTATTTATATACTGTGAAATTCAAATTGTTTTAACTTTGAAATTCAAATTTCCTTTGAATACACTAGATTAATAGATTTTCGATTCATTATTTGATAATTGATAATATTTAGGAAGATATTTAATAGGATATCAAACATCAGCAGAGAAATTATTGGCTTAAACGTTTAATTAAATTAAATAGATCCAACATTTAGTTTACTAGTTGTAAGGAAGATTTTAATAAGAATTTTATTGAGATGGCTGAAGTACTCCTCTTCCTGTTAATTAAAGTTTAATTTGAGTCGATTGAAGTTTGGCTGTTGCATGCAGCAATGTATCAGATCTTTTAAAATTGTTACGATTAAATTATAGAAAATTTACCTCATAGACATCTTTCGTTCTTTTTACGGACTTAATAAGTATATAGAAAAACTGAGATTTTATTGAATTTAGCTTTAGAGTTATATTGATCTATTCATATGATCATCCTTGTATGCATATTTTGTTTCATTATGTAAAACATATTTCATTTTAAATAGTAATGATGCTTCAGCCGGTTCGATTTACCAATTATAACGATGATTTCTTTGAAATGGTTTCACGCTTACAGTCAAAACGACTCAACGATCAGCGCTGTGATCCTATCATACTGAGCGATTTGACGAATCATTCAAAGAATGGCACTCGACAGTCGGATACAATTGCTTGCAATCTAGGTTAAGCGCCTTCTTATTTGAGCTCTTTAAATGCTGATATGATAAAAACAGTAATCTCGAATTATTATTAAAGATTCGTCATACCTTCATATTTAAAAATTGAAATCAAACAAAATAAGTATAGAGATTGAAACTTTATTCTTTTGAGTTGTTTGTTTAGAATCGGTCCCCTGCTAAAGTTGGAAGGACCAACTAAACTTTATATGTTCTATATTATTCACAAAAGGTAGAGAACGAAATTTTACTCTTTTTAGTTGTTTTTAGAATTAGCCCCCTGATAAAGTTAGAAGGATTAACTAAACTTTTATCTTTACATGTTCCATATTATTCATAAAAGTTCTTAAAAAGGGAATATAAATATGTATAAGCCAATGTAAATAAAAAAAGAATGGGAGATATTATCTTACAGACAAACTGAATGAAATAATTTTTTGTATTAGTCGTTTTCTTTCCTTCTCACCATTTTCAGCTTTTTATTTCCGCTTCTGATCTTCCGTTCATTTTGTTACGCATATGTTGTTGTAGTTGTGGATAAATAAGGTTTTGTTTGTTCCAATACATTCAATATAAAAAAGTATTAAAATATTTTCACTTTTTATGCACTTTCTCGTAAGGTTGCCGTGTTTTTTTGTTTTCCAGTGTGATTTATGTGCGTGTTTGAATTTTGTGATTTTTGTTAGAAGCCGAGGCACGTTTTGGACGGAGGCACCGATTATCAGCGCTTTTTGGACGTGTTAGAAAAGCAGCAAGGCGACAAAGCTTACTAATGTCTGCATCATTTTTTCCTTCTACGACTTCGACACCTCGAACTGCTCCTTCTTCGGTGAAGCAACAACTACTTGCCGACAGCAGTGATCATTTGCGTAACAAATCACCTGCAAAATGCCCAACGGCGTCACGTTTACAGCGTTCTTCCTCGGATACAATAGTGCAAAATATCATGGATGGCAATGGTGATGTATTTGTGCAGTCGAGTATGTCGCGGGCAGCTGAGTCGCCGGAATTCCGAATTCCGATCGCACCACCTCGAAACCGAAGTCGTTGTAATCAAGTTACCTCGTCGAGTTCCATCTCTTCGGGACGAAAAAGTTGGTCATTTTCGTTCTAGTTCTGTTTTCTCCTCAATTTATGTTCAGCTTGAAATTTTTTCGCATGCATTTTCATTTCTGTCTTAGTAAGGTAAAGTTATTTGTTTATTTTTTGATTTTGCGGCACATTTTTGCAGAATTTTTGTTTTTAATGATTTCCTACACAACTTTTTATTTAAGAGAATGAGGAGTTAAGGTACTTTGTTGTGAGAGTACTTCCTTCTCGTTTTGGTAACTATGCGAAGTATTTCAGAAAAACCAGAGTTTTAGAAAATTTGAAATTATTTGCTAAATTTTATAAAACACAACTTAGGTTGATCTATGCAGCTTGTATTACAGATGGTGCCGAAGGAATGCTTGATTTAATAGCTAGTTTGCAAGGTCGTCGAATGGAAGAACAGCGGGCTCATCTGAACGTTCAGTCGGAAGCAATATCTTTATCAATTAATGGCATTGTGAAAGATAATAATGATAAGTAAGCGTAATTTCGTTTTTGGCGCTTCTGTACACGTTTTATTCTCTGCTATCAAATTAAAAAATTTGAATTTATTACATAGATTGTCCTGGTTAATATAATTATAGTGCGGAGCAATCAACACCATCATCGCCACATGTGGAACAATCACGATCTGAAGATGCTGGTAACTTGTACGAAATGGTAATTCGGAGTCAAAGGGATCGGTTAGATGAACAACGAAGTGAGTTACCGCGAACTATGCCAGTAGAAGATGTCTAGCGGATAGTCACGCCAATGCAAAAAAAGGCGTTTTGAAACTCAACATGCTGTGCTAAATTCAGCTTCACAAAACTTATCATATGAGTTGCGTGTTTCTCATATTTACTTCCTTTATGGCTTTTGCCGTTTCTCCATAGACATAAAAAGGATCTAATTTTTCTTCAGGATTATGTTTCTTACGTGGAAGCTTGAATGAATAAATGCTTTTTTAAAGTTCTCAATATTTTTTTCAGAAATGTTTCTGCGTTTTGTTTTCTTCTGTAATGTTGCTTTTTTTTTCTTATTCCCATAAATTGGGTGGTTCAAGATGGACACTGGAGACACATTTTGCGTTTTGAACTCAAAATGCTTTTCTTGCCCGTCTAGAATTGTTAACAGTAACTAACTGTGTGGTTGTTCATAGTATATCCATTACAACTTATTTTTATAGCAGAACTGATATGGTTCTTTTTCTAATTTTTTTGTATATCAAATTTATTTGGAGTAACGAGAGATGACTTTTGTATGCTTTTTATCTGACCGCGTTCTTTAATTTTATTTTTCCCGAATTTTTCTATCACTTCATCTTTTCGAAAAGATCACGCCTAATTTTTACGCATAATGACACGGATGGTATTTTAGTTGGGAAGTTTAATTCTATCTCTATAATTTTTATGTGGTGATCTTCGGAATGCAATATTTATGCCTTAATCAATTTATGCTTTCAAGAATTGGTTGGGAGAGAGAATACGCGTTTTGGTTATTGTCGCGTGGAAATTCTGATAATTGCAAATTTTTTAGTGTTAGAACCATAGAATTGCTTACAAGTAGCAGATTTATCAACTAATCTCTACTATTTCGAGTGTTAGCTTAAAATTAAAGCAACTTATATGATTTAAAATTGAAGCAATTTATATCTGGATTTGGATTTTTTTAAATCTGCAACTCTATATTTTCATAATTGGATTTAGTAAAAAAAATTGCTTGCACTGATTTTACTTGCTTTTCTTTATCCTTTCATAGTAGAATTCTCGAGTCTAACCTTTTAATTATTTGTTTCATGTTAAGTCTGATTATTCTAATACAATAAATGTACATTTTTTCATGTTTACGTGTTTAAAGAATGTTTCCTTTTCACATTGACTGCGATTTATCATCGTTTTATTTTGAGAAAAATTATTTGTTTTGCTGTGAATTTTTTTTTGTTTCATGTGATTATGAAATATGGCTTGCAATGATTGGTACCAATAATACTATTACATATTATATCAGGATTTCTAAAGATTCTAGGTATTAAAATCCTGATTATCCGTTGTAGTCGTTGCTGTGGAATTGATTCAGTGAGACATATTTCTTGCACAATTAGCTCATTTGAATCGAAACATTTATTTTCTCCTTCAAGTTATCTTCACTCCGACTCTTTTTTTTAATGAAATATCAGTAATATATAGCTGAACTTCGATTTAGAATAAAGGTTTGACTCTGTTATCGGCTGAATTCCTAATCTGGAATCAAGCCAGTGGGTTGCAACGAGGAGGGCAACGACGCCGTTATAAATGGAAAGGAGTGGGAGTAGCAGGAATAAATTGAGCGCAAGTTAAGATTCAAATGGCATTCCTCTATATTTTTAGCAAATGATATCGATGTTCGGGTTTGCTGGTCTTTAATTTCAGACAAAGAATTTTCCTCTATTTATGATCGGTTAGAATCGCTGGTGAGATTCTCCTCAGTAGTCGAATTCCAATTGTCCATTCAAATTTTGTCAGCAACCTCGATGGATTAGATTTTTATAAGTGTGTTGTTATTAGAGTGGTTGCCTTTTTAAGCCTTTTGTGTGTGTAAGGTTAGAAGAGAAGTGGATGGATGGGTTTAAATTTGGCACATTATTTTAGCTGATGAGAGTAAGTTATGGAGGATAGGCTGAATGTAATTGGAAGTGCATTGGAGGCTATTTACAATACTACGGTTAATAATGAACAACGATCAGCTGCATCTCAGGTGAGTGAAAACTCTTCACTGTTACTTAAACATGATGTTCACATTACCCATGTGCGTATTTACTATGTCAGTGTACTAGGATCTCACATAGCATGCAAAATTGGAGTGATTTCATATGTTTTATCCGGACTGTAAAAAAAACCACCATTAATAACACTGGAAACAAATAGCTGGATATCATAATTGGTGGTTTTTTCTTCGTAAGTATAAAACAGGAATAAGGGCTTGAAGCCATACTTTCTAAATAATTTTTAGTTATAAAGTGAAAAAAAGTAAAGCAGGAAAGCATCAAATCATTGAATTGAAATGAGTGCTGTAAGAATGCATTTCTTTGTAGTTTTGGAATGATGATTTAGTTAGCAATTTTTAACCGAGAGAGAAGAGTAACGGTACATTCAATTATTCTTTGCATGCAGACTTTGTCGAGATTCTAAAGATGAAGCGAAATATTGCTTTTCGATCGGCTAGATAGTTTTCAGACAAATCGGTTGAGTGAGCGCTTGTAATTCCTGTACATAATTTGATAAATTACAAGTACTGAACTTGCAACGAAAGGGATCGTTCATAATAGTGCAGTGTGATCATTTGAAATTAGTTATTCCATGTCTCTAATCATTTATATCTTTATCATTATTCAAGATTATCGAATCGGTAAAAGAATTGTCTCCTACTGATGTAGAACAGATTGCGTATGCATTGATCTCAAAGAAGGATCTCATCCTTGCTCGAACAGGCTGGAATTTTCTTGAACATATCATTAAGTAAGCTTTTTGTGACTACCAATTTTTCTCAACCTTTTGAAAATAGAATTTTAATCCTTATTTAGGTTTGATTTGAATTCACGTTCACAGTTCAAGATAACTGTGAATATATTAGAATATATAAATTTGATCTGCTTGCGATGGATATATCTTTTTTTCGAAATGGAATGAAAATGGATTTAATTCTCAAATTTCCTTAGATTTAAATGGTTAGAAATAAATGACCAATCACGCCTTACCATCCGATATACCTGTTTTGCTGCAATGAAATCGGAGGCTATGCTGCGGAATGAGCTGAGATGTGCTGCAGCCCGATGTGTCGTTTTAATGATTGAGCATGAATGGCCTCAAAATTGGCCAGAGCTTTTTGATCAGCTTGAAGATGTCAGTTTTTTTGTTGCAAATAATGCGTCCTGAATTTTTTCTTCCCATTGTCAGATTTAGACTTTTTAAAAGTTTTTTTTAAATAGCATAAAATAACATGTTCATTATTTCGTTATAATTTGGTCATTGAGAGCTGTATGATTGTTGCATATAATTTTAGATTGCTTCTGTATCGGGAACTCATGCTCAAATTCCATTTATCATACTGCAGCTTTTGGTCGAAAACGTAGTCACTTTGGTAACTGTTGAAAATATTTCCAGAAGGAAGGATCTTAATAATGCTATTGCCTCCAACATACCACGCATATTGCATTTCATTCGTTATGCGTTGCGTCAATGTTCCGTTGAATCAACAGGTATTCACTAATTTTGTCATTATTTAATATTATTCATATTTGAAATGTATTATCAGTTGAAATTGTATATTTGCGTGAATTATTTATTTAAAGAAAAAATAGCCATCCGCTTGAATTCAAATCATTTCACTGAAAGGAATGTTTTGAGAAAATTTTTTTGCAGATGAGTCCTACTGCTTGATCCGTTCCGCTTTGGATTTATTCGGTGAACTTGTTGAATGGCTGCCAGCTAACATTTTAGAGCCTTATATCAATGATTTGTTATATACAGTTTGTTCATTCCTTGAAACACCTCAACACTGCATATATGAAGTGGTTTGTGAATGTTTTTCACGTTAAATTTCAAATGTTGTTTGCTTTATTTAAAAAAAGGCATGAAAATCTCAATGTATAAATTTAATCGAAAAATATTTCCGCTAGTTGCATTCAGCAGTGTTTTGATAGAAGATAAATATGTGAAATACAAGAACTTCATTTTCAGGCAGCAAAATGTTTATGGAGGATTGCTTCACGAAAGCAAGCAAGAAATGAAGAAAACCTTGTTGTTTTTGCTCTTTTCGGTGACATCCCAATGCGGTCAATTCTTAGTGCTGCAAAGTATGTTCGTCTAATAATTCCGTGAATGTATGCTAAGCTTTTTTCGGATATGCAGGGACCTTCTGCTCTAATAAAAATCTTTTAAAAGATGATGACTTATATTATACACTCAGTTTTAAGAATATATACATTTAAAGATTTGTTTAGAAGAAAGTACAAACATGGTAGTGCTGTTTCGAGAAGTAGTACAGAAGGTAGCATGTTTTATTTTATAGCGGAGTCCGCTGATTGCATCAAAACTTTTCGGGTTTTAAAATAATTACAATAGAGTCTTGTATGTAATACTGATTTAAATTTGCCGCCTTTGTGTCCTTGATAGCTGCAGGCAGAGACATTTTTCCTTTAGTTTATTATACTTAAATTTTAGAGAAAATAATATACATTTTTCGTAAAAACTTTTTAGCCAAGCAGCAAGTGTTGGTGCTAATAATGTCGAACATTATCGTTTTCTAAAAACCCTTTGCAATGTTTTATCCGCATTGGGAATTCATTTGGCTGATGTTTGGACTCAGCGACCTCCTAATTTTGGCATGTATTTAGCTGCCATTGAAGCGTTCTTTTCACATCCGTCAGTAGTAAGTTGCTATTTCTTTATAAATCATTTTACACTAACCGCGTTGCTTCAGTTCTTTCTTCTCGTGGTAATGCAGACGTGATGCACTTTTAGTTTTAGAACAATGAATAAATGATTTGAAGGAATACTCAAATATTCGCATTTGATTCTTCATAAATATGTTTGTTACAGTATTTACGAAATGAAGCAGTTGTCGTATTTGCTTCATTAATAAATCACGAGAAAATTAGAGATGACGAAGTATTCAATGAATGTATTTGCCGCGTGATCATTTCCACACCAAATTTATTGGAAAAAGTCGGCTTTCCGTCCCAGAATAACCATGAAACTTGTCACTTCTCGCAGCATGATTATGATGACGATAATGATTTTTCCCATGCCTTTACTCGTGAGATACAGTTTAATCAATTATTTCATACTCTGATTGCCTAAATTTTTAATATTCCAAAGACATTGAGAAATCAACAGCTAATGAATGACAGAAAATATCACGAAAGAGCAAGCAACATGGATAGTAAAATTTCTCCTTTTTAGAATTTCGCGACCGCTGTTTGAAAGTTATTCGTTCTTGTTGTACTGAAAGGCATATCGACTTGCTAATCAGTATTATAGAGAAATGGTTTATCAGTCGATGCTTGGACTGTTCAGATTTAGGTAGATTTATTATTTCTGTCGATTTTATTAAAATCTATTATTTATTAAAAGTTTTGTACCAGATATAGCTTTCATTCTGTATTGATATACTTCCTTTAATTTTTTCGCACTCCACATAAAATATTGTATTAGGGCAATTCTAAACGTAAGCGGTATTGTACGCTATATTGTGTTTGAATTAACATGAATTCCAGTTGTTACTGAAAATTTGTTATAGAAAATTTAGTAAGACAAACCGAGTGGGATGCAATGCAACGGTTCGCAAAACTTGTTTTATGGGAATGTCACAACAGAAAGCTGCTAAAGCCTGTATGTTATTAACTTTGAATTTCTTCTCTTAATTGTTTCAGATCTCGAAGTTTTATTCATTGATTTTTCTTAGGACAATTACAAAAGATTAAGTTCACTATTTGATGGAGTGCTGATATTAATGGCAAATTGCATCTCACCACTATTAATGAACAACCTGTTGTCTATGCTTTCAACCCTGTTGGTTGTTGTTGGAAGATATCCGCAATTACTTGTTTCTCTTCTCTCTCAGGTATTTTTTATTGCAATTAATATTGCTTAGCACGTGCTATTTAAGTAATCATCCCACTACAAAAAATGTGAAATTAGTGAGTAAAGAGAGTAAAAATATCAGTGAGTTGCGTGTTATTATCAGGATTGTTTATTGAACGCTTTTAGTTACGGCGACCTCTAAGTGATAGCGTGGATGATGATATTGATGACAAATCTGTCAAGAGACATTGCATAGCTTTATTATTGAGGATGGTCACCATTTTTGCTGACGACATCAAGGTTTTTTTTTCATATTTTGATTTATGCTGCTAATCGGTAACTCAGATTTCAAGATTGCAGGAGTTAACAATCATTTTAACTGCATTATTTCTGTTCAGAATACTCTCACATTGTCATCATTTTCAGTTTATTTTTCTTTATTTTATTGTTGCAGGGACAAGCGGAAACCATTCTGGAATTTTGTCTTTCAGTACGTCCGTTTTTATCACTGATGCAATTGGCTTCTTGTATGCAAGTAATTGCTGCATTAAGCAATCTTTGTGTCGACTTCACATCACAAAATAATTTCCTTTCTAATGCTTTATACGACCCTTTATGTTATTTTCTTCAAACTGAAATTCAGGAGTAAGTTTTAGTAGATCTGAAAGTCTTTTTCAATGTTGACAATTTATTTTAGTTTCAGCTTTCTTGAATTAGAATTTTTTTATTCATTAAGCTCGTCGGAAATGTAAAAGGTCAATTGCAGAGTTTTCCAAAGTGATATGGCATTCTTGACTTTTTTTGGTTTCACTTCTCCTGCACCGGCAAATATTGCGGAAGCTGCAAGATCGCCTTTTATGCTCAGTCGTCGAAGGGTCATTTCATTCAGATTTGTTCCTTGCTATATTGAATGGAATTTTTTCCTTTTTAATTTTTCTGATTTTAATTTTCAAGTTGCAGTTTCGATCACATTTATCGACGCTAGAAGGAATAATGGCTCAGACTCAGTCGGTTGCTCCTCCTTTTCATCCTGCCTACAGCGCTTTCCGACCAATTTTACCAACAATATTTTTATTAGTGAAGTAAGTTTTTCCAAATGATTTCTTATTGGTTTGGTTGTGAAATTCAGAACTAAAATTGTAAATAATTATTAATGATGGGATAATAAATTTTAGAAAAGAATTTCTCTTTCGTTCAAAATTACCTCAATATCAGTTGATAAATTAAACGTCGTAGGGATATGAGATGGGGTAGTTGCAGTCGATAGAAATATATCAGAGAAAAAGTTGTATTTCAGATTATTGATGACATTCATCTTCCAAGAATAATTGAAGTAGAAGGTTGAGCTTTGGGCTTACGGGTTACCCTCGTAGTCGCTCTATTACCCCTCTTAAATCATTTATTTGTTGCAAGTCATAAGTTTTAAAATCAAATATTAGGATATAATTTCACATGTGAAAAAAAAGCTGACAATAGTTGACATCCATTCATTAATAATGTGTCTGATAAAGATGTAGCATTTCTTTATTAAAATTTTCGGATGCTTATTTGAATTCGTGCCTGATTTCGAATTTAGTCTTCGTTATTAGTTGCTACTTTATATATCTTCTATGATTTTTATGTTTACGGAAGTGTCAAAAATATGCCTCATTCATCGAAGAGGATTTGAATCTTTCTGTTTTCGTTTCAGACGTTTAAACTCGTTGTACGATCCGAAAAATGCGAATGTTGTACATATTTCATACGGTCCCATATCCATTTTTGAAATTACCACCAATGAACGACAACAATTATTGACACGTGAGACGTTGTTTTCCTTTTTATCAAGGTGTTGTGAGATTCCTCAGAATGAACTATCTGAAAGCTTGTTGGCAAATTTGTATTTCTAATACTTTGTGGTTTATGTATACAGCTGACTTATTTTGTTCTCTCTATTTGTTAGCTTCACGTCCCCCATTGTTCACTGCACCCATTTCTTTTTTTTTATTTATCTTCAAAGCATTTGTTTATTAAAAGTGTAATTTTCAGCAATTGAATCATGCGTATCATCAGCAGCTCGAATTTTATCCGATGATCCAGGGACTCATGCTCGTGCCTTTATTTTTGATGTTACAGAAAAAGTGCAAGTTTTTATTTCCATTCACCTGCTTATTGACTAATCAGCAATAATGACAATTTAAGAAAGTTCACATGAAATTTCTTTTCAGGCAAACTTTAATTGGTTACTTTGCAAGTAAAGCAGCCAAGCAGCTATTTTCTGATTCAGAGATCAGCAGTTGGGCATTGTTTCTTTCTTGCCATCTCACTTTTGTTCCAGATTTCCGATTACGATTTTGGTTAAGAAGGACTTGGTATGTTACATTAATTAAAATTAACCGTCGCAATGAAAATATTATTGAAAGCTACGAATTTAATTTTCGAGTACTTTTGATAGAGGAATAGGGCAGAAACTTAATAATAACAAATTTCTTCAAGGAAACCATTTTTATGCGCATGTCCGGAAGTTGCATATCATAGTGTTAGGCAACTATTGCTGGTAGTGATTGAAGAATTGAGCAAGCGCCTACAAAGTAGATGGGAGCAACTTGCAGTTTCCGAATGTGGTTAGTCTTTTCAACGTTTCTTTTTATTTTTTAGCCACTAATTTTTCTAAAATTCTTAAGTTCCAAATATACTTTTTCTTAAAGAACTACTTAAGTTTTTTTCATAATTGAAATCTGTTGAATGAACCTTTATTACTAACTATGCTATTTGCAGTAGAAGATGATGAACCCTCTCAAGAACAACTATTAGCTGAACATATGGCTTGTATTTTAACTCGGGAATGCTCTATTCTTCTGCGAGATTTATTCGGTATTTCGGATGCAGGTGAGAAATTTATGAAGGATTCTACTGTTAATTAATTTTCACGAAGTTTTTCCATTTAAAGCATGATCCATTCAAATTTGTTATTATAGGTGACAAAATCGAGGAAGGATCCTGCATAAGAAATTGTTTTTTAAAAGACGAGGCTCGTTATTCATTCATCTAAAATTTTAATGTTTCTTACATCCATAATTTGTTTGGAAAATTTTACCGCTAGAATTCTATTGTTACTGCTGAAAAAAAAATTTTTTGAAGTTTAAAGACAACTTCGTACATGCAATATTTTCATACTTGTCTTTTAGTTGGTTGCGAATTATATTTTGGTGGTACCTCTTCATATTTCCGTCGATGAACTTGAAGAGAGATTTTTTCAGGAAGTAATAGGAAAAATCGTTGAGTGTATGTTTTTATGCTTAACATATCGCGATGCAACTTCAGTGATTCGGATAATACCTGTTTGTAAGAATGTCATCGAAAAGGTTCGGTCTAAACTACCTTATTTTTGGATTTGCTGATCTCTTTCCTACCATTTCATCCAAAAACTGAAAGATTGCTTTAGACAGGTCTTCCGAAATAAATTTCCTCTCTATTTCTTTTTCAGTTAAATGAAAGATGTAGTGAAGAAATAGCTGTCTTCGTGCTTGTTCAAAGTATTCAGAGCTTGCAAATTCATGGATCAGATGAATTAGCTCTCACTCATCTCTTGTCCCTTGTTTTTTTCATTTACTCTTCTTTGGTGAGTTGCGTTATTTCTTCGTTATTCTAAATACGTGCAATTGTAATCCTCACAATTGATCCGTTGCATAATAATCCGTCATTTAACGCATACATATGTTTTTCGAATTTCTTGCGCCTATATATATATATAATTTGAGAGGAGAAGCGCATGAAAGATATCAGGCAGTTTTCATACGTAATATTTATTTTAAAATTGCTAGCTTGCGTGGACTATACACTTTGATTCTGTAAGTTCTCACATGTGAGCTAGATACGTGTTATTATGTCAGTTTCTTAAGAAAGTTATATTTGATAAATTTTGAAAATCAAAAGCATGCTTTACAGAGAGAGCGGTTCTCCAGTCTATCTCAGGTATTGCAACAAGTGCCAGAGTGCTCTGTAGAAGACGTAGAAAGACTGGATCGACGGATTGCATCTATGAAGTGTAACAAAGACTTTGCAAATGAAAAAATGAAAAGAGAAATCATGAAAAAGTTGTTACGAACTGTGATAGCGGTTAGTCTTTTATGACTTTTGCATGACGAAGGTTTCGTCAGTTATGAAGTTGGTTATTAGTTTCATCCGACTTATTACCTCTCGCTTCATAGCCGTCTACTTTTTTTCTGAAATTGGTCATTTTCGAAATATCTTCTCCAGTCTCGAAATTAATTTTTATTGATCTTTGTATGAAGCATCAACGATCTGTCCAAGAAGTAGAGGAAATTGAGGTATTAGAAACTAATTCAGACAAATCATTTTCCCTCTGCTTCGGTTGAAATACTGATGAATTATATAATTAAGTTGAAGCACCATAGTTTTAGTTTCAATTTTCGTTCTTTCCGACATTTTTTTTGTAAATTATATTTCAGTATATTTTTTGTGAATTATATTTCAGTATATTTCAGACTTCAGTTGGTGAGCAACACAGAAGACCAGTTCACCTCCGTTCACTACCTCCTATTCCAAGAAACAAGAAACATTCTGAAGAGAGCTTCACAGACTTGGGATTTGTATTTGGTGATATCTAATTCTACCAGTTTCATTCAAAACGCACTTGTAAATTAAATTTATGAATCTGTAAACGTAAAGCTGCGGTTCTAACAATGAAATGAAATGAGTTATTGGAAATGCGCAATTACACACTTATTTGACCAATACCCTCCACGTACTACTTCTCTTGTCTTGCAATGATTTTGTAGAACTGCTTACGAGGAAGCAATTACATCAAAAAAAAACTTCGTATCTTTTAAAATTGATGAACCGGTTATAAATTATGAAGTGTAAGTATTTCATTCAATGTCTCAACAAGATACTCTTCAATATTTACTCCAGCAGAAGGGAGAAACTATACAAAGATCAAGAGGATTTTTTGGATTCATTATTTGTGATAGCTTTCAAACTTTGCATGCAGTGCGCAATGACTTTTTCCACTTTATCATTTGGCTTCATAGGTGTAATAACCGCAGGATAAAGCATCTTGTCGTGCATTTCAAACCATCTCATTACTTCCATCATAAGGCATGATAGAAGATGCTGAAGATCTTCTCGAAGGTAAGACGATGGTGCAACCATTTGAGACTGGCAATCAGCTGTAACAAAGTCGTTCAGCATATCGGCTGCTTCCTCAATTTGTTTGTATTGCTCGGACAGTTTGCTAATAACAATATCGATTTCAAGTTCGATTCGTGCCATTAATCGTGATTGCCAGTTTGATGAATGTAGCATTAGCGATGCGTACCGTGGCATCTGGAAAGGATAGAGAATAATTGATTTAACAAGCATATGTATTTATAATCTCTGGAAAATTCAGGATCACTTTAACAACAGTAAATTTCAGTCCCCAAGGTAAAGTTAACTGTTACAAGCGTTGGTGAGGCGGGCATAATGCGGATGCGGAGTGGATTCCAAAGCACTTAGAGATATTATGCATAATGAGTGCTTGATTAAAGAATTACCAGAGTTCCACAGATTTTTGGTTAAGTTTCGTTCTGGAAACTCCAAATAAAATTATGTTACAAGAAAAAAAAGGTTCGACAAGCATTACTAAATGATGCATCTAATAGCCGTTACAATGTAAGATGCTCATCGTTCATGTTAAATATTGCCTTTTTCGTAGCTTCTAATTGCGCGCCGAGATTCCTCCATACATCGACGAAACTGGCTATATTGTTGATGCATTTCTCGATTTTACGAATTTCACTGAGATACTCCATCTTCATTCCGTAAAGATCTTTTTGGGGTTTACCATTTCCGCAAATCTATTCCATAAGAAAGTAAGGTATCGGAGATGTTCTGAAAGTAAATTCCGTGAAGCTCCTTGCCGGCTGACCCATGAGCTGATAGGTATCCCTCCCCATGCCTCTGCTACAACCATTACAGCCATCCATTATCATGGTAAAACTTGCCTCGGCATTGTTGTTACCCGGTGGTTGAGGTTGGGAATGCTGAGATTTGTCGTTAGCTTTGCATGTTTGTGGCATTATCAGGTGGCATTATTATGGTACCTCAACCGGGATGATATTATTATCATCACTCTTTCTCTCCATTTCTCTCCATTTCCTTCCATTTCATTACTGTGATCTTTACAAACTGTAATTCTCCGCTGATAAATCAACATATCTTTCACACCGTACCGAGCATTGCTGATCCTTTCTGTGCGGTGGCTCATTTAGTGGTCAAAGCAACTCATTTCCGAATCACCTAATTCTTCTTGTTAATGGCTGCTATGGCCAGCGGTCTATACTACTTCCCTTGCATATATCTTTATCGCTGAATTACTTTGACTGTTGAAGTTTTATAGCATTGACTGCTACATTTCATCAAAGTATATATGAATTGGCTCCATCAGGCGACATTATTTTACTGTAACAGTAAAGTTTATGACTGCAAGCAATAGAGGCAGTAACAATTAATTCTGTCTTGTTATCCTGTAAGTTCAGTTTCTATCACATTATCATCTGCAATGTGCAATCAGACGACATATTCTTAAAATCGATCTCCTTTATTTGGCTTTTTTTGACAAATCATTTCGACAAATTGGATGATAGCACGAAATGTGACTTTAATTCATTTTTTTAAATAAACTAGAACAAATGATTGATTGACAAGTCAGGAGGACTATTTGTAAATTAACTACAAATAAATGGATAAATTAATGATCCGTCTCGGTAAATATGAAATGAATTACATTAATAATGTGCATGAATCCTTTTTTTAAAGGTACAATAATGAATTACATGAAATAAAGTTGAGTTAAACAATCAATCATCCATTACTTTCAAAGATTTAAAATATTTTTCTTTTCTAAGGGAATTATTTGAAACAAATTCCATTGAATCACTAATTCTTCTGCTGTTTATTCAGAGATTTGAAAAATAATGATTTCTCTAATAGCTGCTAATAATTCATAAAAGCAATGGAAACTTTCAAGTTGTGGTATCATTCCCCAGTTTTTTTCCCTCAAGGACAAAGTGATCGAATTGATCTACTGATTTTTCAGGTTCGCGAAATGAAATTTGGATTTTGTACTTCAATATCACCGGTTGGTGCTAAACCAGGGCATTCATATACCGAAAAATCGTTCTCGTCATCGGACGTTTCACCGCTTTCATATCCATGAGGAAGAATTACTGCTCCGTTTTCACTTGATATTATCTTCTGCTTTGCTTGCTGATAGTGATGTAAATGTGCCTAGAAAGATCACTAGCAGAATAAACTAATAATTAAAGAAGTACGAACTCCAAAATGAAATACATCAACAAAATAGAGTTAAATATATTTGGCAATAGAGTTCCCTCATTAGCCTTGAAAAATTAATGGAGAAAATGACATTCTCATTCTTTTCTTTCCCATCTTAGTCTCAAGAAATTTAAAAAGTCGATCAGGCCTTCTTAGTTTATCCTTAATCATTTCAAAATCGAAATCGAAAGTAATTCAAAATCAATGGAAAGTAATTAATGCTTCATCATTTTTCACCAATCCTTTCTTACTTTCCTTTTAATTTTATACGTTTTGTCACATTATTTAAATACTTAAAACTTTTTCTTTCTTTCTTAATATTTTATTCAATATTCAACTTCATTTTCTCTATAAAAATGAGAAAAATTTGTGTGAAAGAAGAAAAAATTACTCAAAATATAGCAAAATTACTATAATACATAAAATAACGCATAATAAATAATAATAATAATAAAATACAATTAAATGATGCTTAGATCGGAAGTAAATAAATAAAAATTAGGATTATATTTTATGATTAAATAATCATTAGTGAACATTACCATTCATATACTTTTTCTGAATATGAAAAATTGGTGTATGTTTTAGAATGCATTTCAAACAATTCATATTTATTAGTAACTGAATTACTTTTTAACATACCTTATATGCCAGTCCTTCATCACCATTCTTCTTTTTCTTGCTCTTTCCAGGGCCGGTAGGTGCGTATGTGAAATCAGAACTATCAGCTGCAGATTTTTCAGATCGATCCCTGACATTTCATTGAATAATATTACAAATAGAAAAGAAAAAATTTTTGAAAATGCATACGAAGCAAATAAAATGTAAAAATTATTGAGAGGCATTGTTTGTCAAGTTCGATAAAAAAAAGTGAATATAATTCATTTAGTATCGACAATTCATTTTGATATACTGAACAATGAAATAAAATTTATCGAACTCACTTGAAAAAATAGTAACTGCCAGTTGCGACTCCAACTACCACTGCTAACATGCAAACTGTTGCTACTGCTGAAACAAAAAACGATCCAGATATGATTTTAGTGAATGATTTCGCTAAGAAAGTCATCTATTTGACAACATAAGATGGACATCTTTCGAATAAGTTTGTAAAATCATACTTCAAAAGACCCAAGAAAAAATGATGATTCAAGATTAAACAAGAAATATGGCTATTGTTTAATAGAACTAGAGGATTTGATTATCGAAAAATAGATGGATATCGAGAATTGTCACGATTAACAAACTGTATATCTAATGTAAGCTCTTATCAGGCTAATTGATAAGTTACTTTGTCTGCCTGCTAAGTTATTGACAATTTCAGAATGAAATGCCTAAGCAAAGTAAAATGTTTTACTAGTAGAAATTGAATTTTTGATGATGATATGAAGATGGGTAGTAATAGCATACCTAAAGTTAGGAAATTACCGAGATGAAGCACTGGTTTTAAGTTAGGTTTCTGGACTATTTGAATATCTTCTACCCGTTTTTCCAACATTTCCCTGTGCTTCATTTGATTTGAAACTTTCGGTTCAATGAATCCCACATATTCACTTTGTCCCTTTTTCTGTGCTGCTATCAATTTTGTGGCCGCTCCTTGCACGGCTGCATTTTCTGCACTTTCAATATTGATATCGTACATATCGTTGCTATCTGGTTCATTGTATTCGTTATTATAGTCTGGAGAGTTTATTTATATTTTGTATAAGTTTCATTGACTTTTGTTAAAGATAAATGATATAAATTTGAGAGAATTTGAGCTTCAAAAAAATATTTAAATTTAAAATATCATTAAAGATTCTCATCGGTATAGCGTCAGTGTCATTTCTTTTAAATTCCATTAGTTGGAGAGCCACTGAAATTTAAGATTTAAAGTTAATGGTAGCTATAAGGAAAGAAAAAGGTAGTGGGGATAGTTTTAAAAATAATTTTATCTAACATAGCTGATATTATCTGTGTTATTATTGGCCAGTAAAACACTTTATTTCATACATTAGGATGATTAATTATTCTTATACATAAAGATTAAATAACTTCTTAATTAAATCATAATGAAATGAATGAATAAATAGGAATAACTAACGAGACAGTTGTTTATCTCTGTTAGCTTGTGTTAACATATTCATTAATGTTGCCATCTCTTGATTGTTTTCATACTGTAGTAATTCCGGTTCATTCTCTGAAATACAAAAGTTAGAAATGAATTTTTAATTTAAATAGTTCTTTTTAGTGTTTATTTGAATTCTTCAAATTTCCAAACTTATTGGAAGTTTCAACAAAATAAACGATCGTAGCTTTCAGTCAATTATTACAAACATTATGAAAAAAAACTAACGAAAAAAGGAATGTTCCTTATATTTAAACTATTTACTGTAAAATTTTCCATCTTTCTTAACTTTACTTTATGAACTATTTAACTGAGAGTACTTAATCTAATGCTAATCACCTTATCAGATAATTTCTATTAATTTTCGATATGCTCAAAGTTTAATATTAAAAACAAAATGAATTTGTGCTGTTACATTATCTCACTGATATGAAGAAATAAGAATTGGTTGAAATACTTATTCATTTTGAATGGTACAATTGCATGAGCCATAAAATTTTATGGAACATAAAAAAATTTAATGAGCGCAATTGGAATTGAATTGAGAGAGAAAACTATTGAAGGGAAGAAATGAATAGAAAAACTAAAATTATAATAATAAGTAAAGTTAAATGAAATGTTCACATATAAATAAACAAAGAAACAAAAATGGATATATTCGAAATATTTTATGTCAACAATTTTTCCAACTTTACTTTTTTTGAGCACAATTCCATTAAGGAATTGTACTTTAATACTTTTTTCATTTACTATTTAAGTTAATGATTTATTGTTTTTTGAAGAATTAAAATCTTTTCAAAATATAAGAAATTATATTTTAAATAAATAATACGAGGAATTTGGTAGCAATTCTACGTATTTGAAGGGATGCTAAAGTATTGATAAGAGTCTGTTATTTCCTATTAGTTCTCCTGCTTTTATAATTAAACCGAATATTTTTGAAAATAGAAATTGGAAGATAAAACAGTTCGTCGTTCATCTATCCATATCTAACTTATCTTGCACCCTGAACTATTAATATTTTATAATATAAGCGAACACTTCATTAATGGTCACTTTACAATTAATTGTTTAGAGTGAAATTATAAATTCGTGAATAAAATAATTTTTCCAAATTAATGAAATATATACTCTTACTAAATATTTACCGTTTAATAATTGCATTCTTTTCTTTCTATATGCCGAAGAAACATACTTACATTTATATTTTATACATATACTTATATTTATACACTTATATTTATACTTATATTGGTCATCTTGACCATTCCACACATACTACCATAATTCGGGAAGTAACATTTCTCATTATAAGCAAAATTTCCTTTTAAATTTATCGATAAACTCACCAACTTTTTTCATCCTCAACTTAATTGATGCAAAAATTATTTTATCAAAAAGGAGCGCTTGAAAGAAAAATTCGATTTATATTCAATGTTTGATAATTATCCTTCGTAAACCAAATAAAATGAAAATTGAAGTTTTTTGTGTATCTTTGACTAAAGCCTACTATATATGGTTTCATTAAAGATAAGCAAACATCTATGGCTTAACAACCAATTTTTTCATTTTTAATGGAAAGATAATATAGAATTATTGAATGAGACAAGCTATGTTTTATATGTATATAT